CTTTGATAAAGGAGGCAGGAATGTACAGTGGAGAAAGGACAGCCTCTTCAATAAGTGGTGCTGGGAAAACTGGACAGGTACATGTAAAAGTATGAGATTAGATCACTCCCTAACACCATACACAAAAATAAGCTCAAAATGGATTAAAGACCTAAATGTAAGGCCAGAAACTATCAAACTCTTAGAGGAAAACATAGGCAGAACACTCTATGACATAAATCACAGCAAGATCCTTTTTGACCCACCTCCTAGAGAAATGGAAATAAAAACAAAAATAAACAAATGGGACCTAATGAAACTTCAAAGCTTTTGCACAGCAAAGGAAACCATAAACAAGACCAAAAGACAACCCTCAGAATGGGAGAAAATATTTGCAAATGAAGCAGCTGACAAAGGATTAATCTCCACAATTTATAAGCAGCTCATGCAGCTTAATAACAAAAAAACAAACAACCCAATCCAAAACTGAGCAGAAGACCTAAATAGACATTTCTCCAAAGAAGATATACAGACTGCCAACAAACACATGGAAGAATGCTCAACATCATTAATCATTAGAGAAATGCAAATCAAAACTACAATGAGATATCATCTCACACCAGTCAGAATGGCCATCATCAAAAAATCTAGAAACAATAAATGCTGGAGAGGGTGTGGAGAAAAGGGACCCCTCTTACACTGTTGGTGGGAATGTAAGTTGATACAGCCACTGTGGAGAACAGTATGGAAGTTCCTTAAAAATCTACAAATAGAACTACCATATGACCCAGCAATCCCACTACTAGGCATATACCCTGAGACAACCATAATTCAAAAAGAATCATGTACCAAAATGTTCATTGCAGCTCTATTTACAATAGCCCAGAGATGGAAACAACCTAAGTGTCCATCATTGGATGAATGGATAAAGAAGATGTGGCACATATATACAATGGAATATTACTCAGCCATAAAAAGAAATGAAATTGAACTATTTGTAATGAGGTGGATAGACCTAGAGTCTGTCATACAGAGGGAAGTCAGTCAGAAGGAGAGAGACAAATACCATATGCTAACACATATATATGGAATTTAAGAAAAAAAATGTCATGAAGAACCTCGGGGTGAAACAGGAATAAAGACACAGACTTACTAGAGTATGGACTTGAGGATATGGGGGGTGGGAAGGGTAAACTGTGACAAAGCGAGAGAGAGGCATGGACATATATTCATTATCAAACGTAAGGTAGATAGCTAGTGGGAAGCAGCCGCATAGCACAGGGAGATCAGCTCGGTGCTTTTTGACCACCTGGAGGGGTGGGATAGGGAGGGTGGGAGGGAGGGAGACGCAAGTGGGAAGAGATATGGGAACATATGAATATATATAACGGATTCATTTTGTTGTGAAGCTGAAACTAACATACCATTGTAAAGCAATTTTACTGCAATAAAGATGTTAAATAAATAAATAAATAAATAAATAAACCTACTCAGGTTGGTTATCTTTTATATAATTTTGTTTTCCTGTTAATATTTTACATGAATATATAAATGAATTTACGTGATTGCTTTCCTTCATTAATTGCAGAGTAAGAAAAATATCTAATGCTCTTTATGATGATATATTCTAGGGGATAGATGTTCAGCTGACTACATTTATCAGCTTTTATTTTTCATTTTATTTATTGTCAAAAAATGTAGTATTTGGAAACTGCCAAATTGATTCTTGATATTTGAGGTGCTAAAATTTGTGGAGGAACGTAGAGTAGGTCTTATTAGGAAGTCACGTGATTTGGACTGCACAGAACCAGAGTCCTAAGTTAAAATGACTGCTTTACATGGTGAAGTACTGGCCAAACTCACTTGACACACAAAACTCACTTGACTTCTTAGATTTCAGTTCCTTTAAAAGGATAATGGAGGTATTGGAGGAATCATTTCTTTTATCCTTTCCAGCAACGTCTCAATCCCTTTAAGTTGCTGTAACAGAATACCATAGACTGGATGGTGTATAAACAACAAACACTTACTTCTCCCAGTTCTGGAGGCTGGGAAGTTCTAGGTCAGAGTGCCAGCAGATTCACTGTATGGTGAGGTCTGTTCCCTGTTTTATAGATGGCTGTCTTCTTGCTGTGTCCTCATGTGATGGAAGTGGGGAGAGCTTTCTGGGGTTTCTCTTATAAGGACACTCATCTATTTATGAGGGCTCCACCCTCTTGACCTAATCACCTCCTAATTTAGGTGTTAGGGTTTCAACATATGAATATGAATTTTGCGGGGACATAAACATTCAGACCATAAGAAGCATGAATATTCTGTGATCCATTGTGTATGGTTGAATGGTTTTAGGTGGAGGCATTTGAAAGAAACTTTGAAAATGAATTTTTGCAACAGGAAGAAAAAAAGAGATGTGAACTAATAGTCTATCTTTAGTCCTAATTAAGATATAAGGGAATTACCAAAATAGGTATAAAATGAAATTTTGAAATTCATAGATACTATGGTAGGGACGTTTTGAGGAGAAAAGTTTGTAGGAACATGTTGAAACCAGGCAAGGTGATTTGGAAACCTATTTTACTTCCCAGTTTTGCCTTATTCTGAGAGAACTGTTGTATTTTGCACATGGCTGATGTTCAGTGAATGTTTCTGAACTCAGTTGATTGAAAATTTTAGTAAGTAACTATCATTGTTTAATGAAAAGACAAAACTATGCAGTTTATATGGTACAGAACTCTGTGGTAGAATTTTCTCTTAACCATTTAGTCCTAAGAAGATGTATAGATCAAAGAATAGTTGGTCCAACATAGACTAGAGTTGACCTAAGAAGTCCTATTTCCAATTGGGTTAAGAACTTAAAAACATTGTACAAAAGAACAAGGTTAGTAATGGGTTTTTAAATACTCTTCCTTATTAATTTTATCCTGAATGTGTACACAAGAAGCTCTGAGTCAGAGTTCTTATTACCTCTAATAAAGGTTAGATGAAACAAGTATTAAATATTTAACTTTCATGGAATCCTATCAACCTCCTCTTGGATATGAAGGCCTTCCTTGCCTTTTGCACCACTTCCAGTTATATTTTGATATTGCATCAATTCCTGTGCTCTAGTTTTTTATCCCTTGGCTCATGCAATGATAGGTCAATGGTCCTGTGCTAATAGCTGCATACTCCATATGTGAAAGACAAGGAAATATTATATTTTCCCTTAACTTATTAAGTGGGAGGTGGCAGCTGTGCTTCTCCCCTCTTGAAAGAGTCTCTGGTGGAAATTTTATGGGCCTGAATCTTAACCCCAACCGATTTAACAGTTTATATCAGTAAAATTTCTCCAGGAGCCACATAGCTCTGTGTGTCTTAGCTTTTATGACCTAGAGATGTCTCTAGGTTCTGGGGCTTTATCTCTCTTGACATATAATGCCCAGCAGTAATATTCAGTCTCCCTTTAGCTAGGAACCTGGTTCCTTATGTAACAATTTGGCCATCTTGAGAAGACATATAGAAGTTATATTATGATTCTGAATCAGGACAATTAGGTAAAAAGCTAGATCTAATTTTTATGGTATATGAAGAGCAGAATATTTCTGGAAGACATGAAAGCAACTATTCTCTTCTTTATATCATAGGTACTTAGGAAGCTCAGAAAGCAAGAGCGTTTGGCCAGAGTACTGAGAAGTCCAGGGAATTTTTATTTCTCCACAGTTAGGTGTTTTAAGTGGGAAGAAGTTCTACCAGGTCATGTTAATGTTTTACATAAAAAATAGTAAAGGATGGCTTATGTAGATACAGTAAGGTAGGTTTTCCAAAATGAGTTCTGAAAAAATATAAATGGTAGGGAAGAGAAATAAGGTAACAGTGATATAATTAGAAACATCCATTTGGGGGAATTCTCTATTTAGTAACCGTGACCTTTGTGGTATTGCAGACTTATCTAGAAGATTCCTATTTCTAGAAATGTGTCAGTAGGATTTTTTTTTTTTTTTTTTTTGGCGGTACGCGGGCATCTCACCTTTGTGGCCTCTCCTGTTGTGGAGCACAGGCTCCGGACGCGCAGGCTCAGCGGCCATGGCTCACGGGCCCAGCCACTCTGCGGCATGTGGGATCTTGCTGGATCGGGGCACGAACCCATGTGCCTTGCATCGGCAGGTGGACTCTCAACCACTGCGCCACCAGGGAAGCCCTGTCAGTAGGATATTTAGAAAATGGTTTTGAACTGACTCCTGCTCTACAAAGAATGTCTAATCCTTATCATCATTTGTTCAGTTCAAATCTGCTGGAAGTTTTGAACTGGTATCAGGGTAAAATACTGTCAAAGTTCATATATATTTGTAGAAGGTACTATGCAGAGACTATGAGTCTTTGTGTTAGGGTTTTGAACTGAGAGCTTTTTTTAAACCAATAATCTTCTTTAATCTTTACATATATATATATATATATTTAAAATAAATTTATTTATCTTTGGCTGCGTTGGGTCTTCATTGCTGAGCGCAGGCTCTCTCTAGCTGCGGCAAGCTGGGCCACTCTTCTTTGCGGAGCGCAGAATTCTCATTGCGGTGGCATCTCTTGTTGTGGAGCACAGGCTCTAGGCGCGCGGGCTCAGTAGTTGTGGCTTGCGGGCTCTAGAGCGCAGGCTCAGTAGTTGTGGCGCATGGGCTTAGTTGCTCCATGGCATGTGGGATCTTCCCCGACCAAGGCTCGAACCCTCGTCCCCTGCATTGGCAGGCGGATTCTTAACCACTGTGGCACCAGAGAAGCCCCTTTATATGTTTTTTTAAGCAAGATAAATATTGACTGATAGACTAAGTTGACACATTAGTTGGATATGTGGAGTTGCCCTCAATCATACTGTATGGAAACTAAGCATATAAGATGTAACATCCCATTCACTCCGAAAATAGGCTCTGTTTCTTTTTCCTTTTGAGTACATTAGCTCTCTCTCTCTCTGGTCCTTAATAATCATAGTTTTAAAGATTAGCAACTAAGTAGCCTTAAATAGTTGACTTACTTGGAACTCTTTCTTTCAGCTTTCTGCCTGAATTCATCAGTGGAGACTTTGATTCTATTAGGCCTGAAGTTAGAGAATACTACGCTATTAAGGTAAACCATTAACACTTCTATATTTAAGGTCTTTCTCATATGATTGCTTTTCCTGTGTTTTTTCCCTCTTTTTCTGGGTGTACATGTAGGGATTGAGAAACTCATTGTTTGGTTACTTTGTTACTTAAGAAGTTTTTTTCTAGCAATTGTCATACACATTCAAATGGAAATTTAGAAAATGACAAGTGGGAACACAATTTTAGAATTTCTATGACCATCAGTTAAACATTAATGCTTAGTCTTTTAAGCATGTATATTTTAAATGAGTTTATAGTTTTTATGCCTCATTAAAAATATACTGTATTGTCTACATCCTCATTAATTATGTATTTTTCACACATGTTAAATTTCATTTAATGAATGTACTGTATTTTACTTAACCAATTCCCAGTTGATGTACATTTAAATGTTGTCCATTTTATTGTAAATGAAAAACATCTTTGTAAATGAATTTTTTATAAAAATCCCTAATTGTGTGTGCCTAGAATTTTAGAACCAAAGTTATTTTTTTTATATTAGTTTTCTTGAAACTATTACTAAAATAATAGTGTTATTCAGAACAGAACTACTCTGATCTGAATAATACTATTCATTACAACTTGAAATGAATAATAATGTACAGCTTATTAAGGTGTTCATTTTGTCACTATTGTGCACATCTTCCAAAGATCCTTGCCACTTAAGAACATACAAATGATCTAATTGCGAATGATAAAAGACACAGAGGAGTGTCTTATACTAATTAATAATTCAAGCTTTCACTGGCTTTAGAGGACAATGCAGGGTTTTTAAAATGATAATTATAGCCTCAGCAGTTCTAGCCACAACACCATCATCTGTGTTATTCTGAACTGGCATTAGTAAATTGTGCATTTTTTAAAGAAACAGCAGTTATTGAAAGAAACTTTAAATTCTTTATAAGGCTCTGGGATGGATGAGATAAATTCATAAAGAAGAAAGAGGAAAACTTTTGTAGGAAGGAAGCAGGGAGGGGGAGGCAGGGGAGGATAGAAGGAAAGAAGGGAAAAAGAAAAAGAAAAGAAAGAGAAAAAAAGGAAGCATAAATCTAGGTGAGGAAACAAGGTACCAAGGTTATAAAGTGTAGGCTGTTGTGATGGAAATTCTGGGGCCAGCAGTGAATGCAGATCTGTGCACACCCCATCTACCCACCAGCTGATCAGCCTTTCCATCAGCAAATGAAGACTGCTCCCAAGTCAGTGTTTGATATTCATGCTCAATTACTTTAACAATGGCATGTTTCTATTCATTCCCCGCAGTCTCACTTCTCATTAACACCATACCTCAACCTCCTTGGGATGGAAAGCCCTCAGCCTTGCTTACAATGCAGAGTTTTGCAAATTCATAGACATTAATCATATTTTCGGGAGCAGAAGAAACAGCAGGAGAGGCAGGGACAAACAGACTCAGAAACCAGCTGAAGATCTGGCCAGATGTGACGGTTCTCTCCCTCTCTTGAATGCTGCCAGCTTGCCAAGACTACAAGTTTCAATCTGACAGGATGAGGAAATAGCAGGAAAGAATGGGAAGCCAGCTTTTTTGTTTCTGAATGGCTCGGGGGTGAAGGAAAATTTTGAGTTAATACCTTTAGATGAATTTCCCTTATATTTCCTGCTTCACTCTTGATTTTAACCTCCAAAGCTAACTTCTATTTGTTAAGGTTTTGTTTGAAAAATAAGATTAACTGAATCTTCTGATTTCTACGTTGCGTGCTTCTAAGTTGATGTAGTACAATCTAGGTTAGTTTTTTTTTCATGTATCAATGAGAACTCACTGCTTTTGAACTCTTTGGATCTGTTCTTAGAGGGCATCAGTGATGTCTTGTATAAGCTAATGTGCCCTGTAGAGCACATGGCGAATGTTTGGCTGCAGTTTTAATAACGATGGTAATGACAACAAGTTAATGCAGCATTACACACAATTCATATAAGCCATTATCTCCACCTGAAGCAGTCTTTAAGCTGCTCTGTTACAAATGAAAGGAGGTTATTTCCACTGAAAGTGGAAAATACACTTTTTTTCCTATCTGGTTTGGATCATCAATGAAGCTGAAACTGAGGCTCTATTGAAGAAAGTAAAATAAGGAAGAAATTTAAAATGCTAAAGTTTTGTTAAAATCATAAAGTCGATTCGTAGCCAACATTGGATTATACGACTTTTTCCCCCCAACAGATACATCATTGACTTATGTTTTTCTGGAACGACACAAGATGGGGAGGGGTCTGGACAAATTGGAATTTATTTCACTTTCTTACCATCACTCACTGTTTAACCCTCTTGAATTTGGCTTCTTCCAACACTACTCAAGGTACCTCTTACTCTTATTATAGGAAAAATCCAGGTCTGTATGACTATACGCGACTTTTACTTGGTTTGCCTGCTTAATTTCTGAAAATGCTGAAATACCAAGTAGTTGGTTTGTCAGCTTTTAAAAAGAATATACCCTAGTTCTTGCCATCTGTATTTGTTAGTTATTACTTTGTAACAAATTGTCCTAAAATTTAGCAGCTTAAAACAGCAAACAGTTCTTCTCTTGCACAGGGACTCCGGGTAAGAAATACGGGAGTCACTTAATAGAGTGGTAGTGGCTCAAGGTTTCTCATGAGGTTATAATGTAGCCTGGTTATTCCATCATCTCAAGGCACACCTAGGGCTACAGAAATTTCTTCCGAGATTATTCCTGTGGTTCTTGGTTGGTTTTACTGGCTGTTACTTCTTACTGGCTCTTGGTTGGAGACATCAGTTCCTGGCCATTGGGCTGCTCACAGCATGGCAGGCTGCTTTCCAGGGAAAGAGGGAGGGAAAAGAAAACATGTATGCAAGAGAGCCAGCCCAAGACAGAAATAGTGGTCCTTTTTTTGTGTGTGTGGTACACGGTCCTCTCACTGTTGTGGCCTCTCCCGTTGCAGAGCACAGGCTCCGGACGCGCAGGCCCAGCGGCCATGGCTCACGGGCCCAGCCACTCCACGGCATGTGGGATCTTCCCGGACCGGGGCACGGACCCGTGTCCCCTGCATCGGCAGGCGGACTCTCAACCACTGCGCCACCAGCAAAGCCCAATAGTGGTCTTTTTTATAACCTAATTTCATGAGTGATATATCACCTTATTATCTCTTCTGCCAGTTGTGATTAGTCACAAAGACCAACCCTGGTACAGTGTGGGATCAGGCTACACAAGGGTGTCAGTATCAGGAGGCAGGGATCATTGGCAGCCATGTGGCGGCTGACTACCAAGCTGTCTGACCTGGTACTGATGAAACTGCATTGTTAGGCAATGAGAAAGATGTTTTAATATCATCATAATGCGTTCTTGGTCTTTAACTAGTAATACGTAAGAGGAAAGAAGAAAACATAGCCATAAGCGATTTTTCTTCAGTTAGGTCTCTGTATGCATAACCTGCTTCAAGTTAGGTTACGTACCAACCACCTAATCACGTCTTAATGTCTACAGCCCTTAGTTATTTATTCCTTTGGGTTTTGGACAAGAAGGGGGACAAGCTCTGGTCTACCGCTTAATTTCATATGGCCCACAGGATATGAACCAAGATATACAATTTATACCTCTTGTTAGTTAACGTGCAGCAGTTTGAAAACTGCATATTTTATTTTTATTTTATTTTATTTTATTATTTATTTATTTTTTCGGTACGCGGGCCTCTCACTGTTGTGGCCTCTCCCGTTGCGGAGCACAGGCTCCGGACGCTCAGGCTCCACAGCCATGGCTCACGGGCCCAGCCGCTCCGTGGCATGTGGGATCGTCCCGGACCGGGGCACGAACCCGTGTCCCCTACGTCGGCAGGCGGACTCTCAACCACTGCGCCACCAGGGAAGCCCCAAAACTGCATATTTTAGAGAGCAATGATGTACCATTGGATTCATCCAAAGACATAATTTGAAATTTCAGTTGAAGGACAGTGTGACTTGTAACTATCAATGTATTTTTCCATGCTGATAGCTCCATGTAACCTGTTTTAATATTAAACATATAGACACAATAAACACTGATTATATGTAGTTATAGTCCAACTACTTGTGATCCACTTCCTTGATGCATATGGTATGCCATTCTTTTTTATTTTAACAAGAAATAGTTTATTTTATGACTTTCATACATTGACTTAATTTTTAAAATATTTAATATTTTCAGTGTTATTTATTCTTAACTTATAAGAGTATAAGTTGGAGTATAATTGCTTTACAATGGTGTGTTAGTTTCTGCCTTATAACAAAGTGAATCAGCTATACATATACATATATCCCCATATCTCTTCCCTCTTGCACCTTGCTCCCACCCTCCCTATCCACCCCTCTAGGTGGTCACAAAGCACCGAGCTGATCTCCCTGTGCTATGTGGCTGCTTCCCACTAGCTATCTGTTTTACATTTGGTAATGTATATATGTCCATGCCACTCTGTCACTTCGTCCCAGCTTACCCTTCCCCCTCCCCGTGTCCTCAAGTCCATTCTCTATGTCTGTGTCTTTATTCCTGTCCTATCCCTAGGTTCTTCAGAACCTTTTTTTCTTTTTTTAGATTCCATATATGTGTGTTAGCATATGGTGTTTGTTTTTCTCTTTCTGACTTCACTCTGTATGACAGACTCTAGGTCCATCCACCTCACTACAAATAACTCAGTTTCGTTTCTATTTATGGCTGAGTAATATTCTATTGTTATATATGTGCCACATCTTCTTTATCCATTCATCCGATGATGGACACTTAGGTTGCTTCCATGTCCTGGCTGTTGTAAATAGAGCTGCAATGAACATAGTGGTACATGACTCTTTTTGAATTATGGTTTTCTCAGGGTATATGCCCAGTAGTAGGATTGCTGGGTCATATGGCAGTTCTATTTTTAGTTTTTTAAGGAACCTCCATACTGTTCTCCATAGTGGCTGTATCACTCTACATTCCCAACAGTGTAGGAGGGTTCCCTTTTCTCCACCCCCTCTCCAGCATTTACTGTTTGTAGATTTTTTGTTGA